CCGGGATGGGCGAATCGAGTATGTCATCTCCTTCGGACGCAAGGAGGGGCCCTTAATTTATAGGGGCCTTAGTATACCCTAAACCCTAAACCCTAAACCTTAAACCCCAAAGGGTCCATGTACCCAAATAGTAAATCCTTTGGCCCCAAAGTACCCATATAGGGACTACATGAAGGCCAAAGTATATAATTATTCTAAGGGCTTCAAGAGGGACCCTTAATAGGTTTAGGGTTTAGAGGTTTAGGGTTTAGAGTTTAGAGGGTTTAGTATAGGGTCTAGGGTTTAGGGTTTGCCTTAGTATAATTAGAAGAGGGTTTGGGGAGTTCCTTTAAAGGGTTCGTTAAGGGGTTCTATAAGGGCTACTATAAGGGTTAAGGTTTGTTTAGGGCTGTAGGGTTTGGGGTTTAGTTTAGGGGGTTTAGTATAGGGCCTTCGCAATAATTACCTGTATTATTTTGGGGGCTCCTTGTGACAATTATACTATAAAGGACCCCCAAACCCTAGGAGTTCTAGGTGGGGTTCGGGTTTAGGGGCTCTTGCCAGTGAGCCCATAGTCGGGGGTGTTTAGTCTTGCAAAGGTGTGCTATAAGTAGGTCATAGGGGATTTATGGGGTTCTGCTCGAGTTGGGAGTTCATCATTTCGGGTTTGGAGGAGTATTCCTTCAAGAGTGCTAATAGAAGTGAGGTGATATGCAAGGAGTATTCCGTTTTGCTATGCGGTTTGTTCAGCGTTCAGGGATTGGTGTCTTTGGTTCATCGCTTACATCATGGCCGTCACGTCTGAATAGGGCCTGGGGTATTGCAGTAGATTGCATTCAACCGCATGGTGGTTTGTCTGATCAGTTAGTGCACACCAGGCAGGAAAAAAAAAGTAGCGACTGCCGCAGCACTTGCCCTAGGAACCCCGCAACCCTCCTACTGAAAGGATCACTGGATGTAGTCATTAAAGACTTGAAAATATGGTTACTAACCCCAGTCAACATGCTTATAACCTGACATACTAGGTCACAGGATTCTTCAAGCCCCGACTAGTAAAACCCTCAAAGCCCTGCACTCTGTACTTGGAGGATCATGGGACTTAGTAAGTAAGGTTCTAAGTCCCTGAATTGGGGTTATAAGTAAATAGAAGTATAGTTACCTTAGTTACAACGCTACTTACTAAGTCCCATGATCCTTTAAGTATCCTTGAACGCCCACACCCGGCAGCCCCGAACTGGGCACTGCAGGATGTGCTGTGGTCGAGGATGTCCTTTCTGTAGAAGCGATCGCGGAGGTCAGATCCACCTACGTGGAGGTTGCTGTAGAAGCTTCACTATGCACTACTTAGGGGCTGAGTAGGTATACCTTTAGCCTTTTGGGGCGTATAGAGACCGACTATAGTCTAAAGGTTAACCCTAAACCCTATAAACCCCAGACCATAAACCTAAAGGTTAAGTTTTGGGGCTAGGGTACTCAGCCCCCAAGTCAAAGATCTGGATTCTGGATGTATTCCTGCTGATAGAGCCCTACTAAGCCTGGAGCCTACCCTAAGGGTCCATGTACGTTCAGGGTTTAGGGTTGGGTTTGGGGTTTCAGGTTTAGTATATACTTGGGCCTTGAAGTAGTCCCTCTTTGGGTACTTTCGGGCCAACGTATCTACTATTTGGGTACATGGACCCTTAGGGTACAGACCAAACCCAAAGTTGCCAACCCTACTTGAAGGGTCAGGGGACTTACTATCTTGGTTCCTTAAATGGGATCTATATTACTAGTTGGGTTACTATACAGCGCTTTAGGGCCACTTAAAGGATCATGGGACTTAGTAACGAGGTTTCCTGAAAGTTAAGAGGCCGATAAGGGCTTTAGGGGTACTTGAAGGATCATGGGGATCAGTGGCTAGGTGTCCTCCACGGGTTACCATAAGAGCTCTATAAGGGCTCTAGGGGTACTTCAAGGATCATGGGACTTAGTAACTAGGAGCAGGTAAGTATACGCATAATCACATAAAACTTCAAGTAAGGTACTTATAATCCTACGAGTTGTCCCATCATCCTCCAAGTACAGCCTATAAAGGTGTCCAGTCTTGTTGGGCCCGTGCACTCGCCCGACTAAGGAAATGAAGGCAAAGATTCCGTACGGCAACCGCGGGGAGTACCGCTACTCCTTTGGAGTAGCGCAGAAGACACGTCAGATGTTGCACCACCGAAGCGTGGTGGTTCAGCTACTGAACAACAGCTTTGTGGCGGAAGTACTTCAAAGATACTATGGCGAAGGCAAGGCTGCCCTAAACATTCAATGCCAAGCCCTGAAAATCCAAAGCCCCCAACGATAACCTGCAACCGTCAGGCACTGCTTTTGTTTGGGACCCTAACCGTAAAGCCCTATCATGGGACTTAGTAAGGAAGTCTAGACTTAGGTAACCTAATTGTGTTATGAGTAGTTACAACTACAACTACTTTGTATAGTTACCTGTTTGAAACACCAGTTGCTAGGTCTGATGATCTTGTACAGTGAATCCCAGAAAGTTGAAACACGGGTTTCGGATGATCAGTGTTAGGATCCCTTAAGCCCTAAAGCCTAAGCCCTAAGCCCGAAGTGTACCCCTGAGGCAATGTTGTGGTTTGGGGAGGTGGAGGTGAGCTCGTTTGTGCGCAGAACGATCAGTTTCAAGAGCTGCACTCGGACATCGCATTCGGCGCGGGCGAATCTTAGGCCTAAAAGGTACTCTTCAAGCTTAGGCTTGGAGGGCTTAGGGTTACAAGGACCCCAAAGAACCATACTCGTAGGGTTCCTTATCATGATTTTCTTATGTGAGTTTGTAGGGTCCAGCTAGGGTTCGGGTGTAGAGTGTAGGGCTTAAAGTTCGGGGGCGGCGCTGCTTAGGGTTTGGGTGTGCGGTTTCGTGAGTTGTGGCCGTGAACTTCCAAGGGCTTACTTGGTCCTGAAGTTTGGGCTCTTTTGAAGAAGTACAAAGACTGGAGGGGGGTTTAGGGTTTAGTGTTTAGGGGTGAGGGTGAAGACGGTTTAGGAGGGTTGAGGGGTTTATTTAGGCCAGGGTGAAACTAGGCAGGCTTTAATAGTTTGGATGATTCTGCTTGTCTCGTTGGGTTCTTGCGGATCTGTGAATCTTCTTTTTTTGGTACAGTGGCACAGAACTTGGACTTGGACCCTAAACCCTACACCCTAAACCCTACACCCTAAACCTAGGAAAGTTACGTGTCCGAAACGACCGCTCCCCACATGGTCGCCAACTTCCTTCTGGACGACCAGGCGCGCGACGGGTCTGCCAAGCCACGACAAAGTCGAAGCTGAACGACATAATGTAGGGGCCTAGAGGCTTATACCGTACACCGTTTTTATGGTGCCTGGTTTTATGGTTACGATCTGGTATGTAGAAAAGTAGGTACCCTAAAAAGGAATACAGGCAGGGTTTGCTTGGGGCTTAGGGTTTCAAGCTTCAGGGCTTGCAAGATCATGAAGCTGAATAAGTAAGTTTAAGGGTTTAGGGTTTAGGGTTTGTAGGTTCCCTGAACTTGCGTTATGAATTTTCCTTATGTCTTAGCCCTAGACACCAAGCCCCATGATCCTTAAGTAGGGTTCTTAGAAGAGATTCGGAACAGTCAGGTTTTCGAAGGGCGTTGTCCTTATACCCTACACCCTTATGGTACCCTTAAATCTAGGACTTTTTCAGGTGGGTAGCTACCGTTAAAGCAGGTCTATATACCTTCAGAAGCTTTGTAGAAGCCCTATATACCCTAAACTCCCCACCTGTAGTTTCCTTTAATCAAAGGAAGTCATCACGGAACCCTTAAACTTTTGGAAGCCTTTATTCACCCTCGGGGTCTTCTCTGAGGTAAGGGTCTTCACTATAGAGATGCAACTTCCAAGCCCAGAATCCCAACTTCCACACCCTGAACTGCGGTTCATGATATAAAGAGGTTTTGGGTCTTAGGGGTTTAGGGTTTAGGGTTTTAGGATTTTAGGGTTTGGGGTTTAGGGTTTTAGGGTTTAGGGTTTAGGGTTAATCCTGCATGACCTTAAGGACCCGAAACTATCGCAAATATGGTCTATTCCTTATTATGGGTAATGCAGATTTATCTCATGAACCGTAAACCCTCTAAACCAGACGGTCTCCTAAACCCTAAACCCCAAAAGCCCTAAAGATTCCTGAGTGCACGACTTTCCGTCCCCTAAACCCTAAACCCTAAACCGTATCCTCTAGGCAGCAGACTTTGGGGCGACGCGCCTGCTCCCTGGTACTTGCAATTAGGGTTTAGGGTTTAGGGTTTAGGGTTTAGGTGCAATTGGGGATGCAAAATCCTGCAAGCCTTCGGGGGAATACCTCTTGACTGAGCCTCCATAGAACAACCCTAAACCCTAAACCCTAACATCCAACAGCCTAAGCCTTTAAGTGTAGGGTAAGCCCTAAACCCCAAGCCATAAAAAACCCTAAGCCTAAGCCCTAAACCTTAAACTCCTAAAACCCTTTTTTACAGTGGGGCAGGAACCTGCTAAACACTTTTTTTCTAATTGTTAAGGCCCTGATACATATGTGTATATATATATATATAGAGAGATTACATCCAAAAACCTGAAGCACTAAAACCCACAATGACAGAACCCTGAAAATAGTCAACCAACTTTAAAGTCTATTCTATTGCCACCACCGGCACCACCACCACTACTGCTACTACTGCTGCTACTGCTGCGATTACTAGTAGTACCGCTACTACTATTGCCATCGCGGGGGGACCTGGCGAAACCCTAAAACCCTATAAACCCTAAACCCTAAAAACCCTAAAACCGTAAACCCTATAAACCCTAAAACCCCACAAACCGTAAAAACTCACAATCCCTAAGCCCCAAAAACCCTAAATCCTAAACCCTAAGCCCCAAAAGCCCTAAATCCTAAACCCTAAATCCTATAAACCCGAACTCCTAAGCCCTGAACCTTGGCATCGAAATAGCTCAAAAACCTCGTGTAATAAGGTCTTTGGGCCCACAAGCCTTAAAATATGAGTCCTTGGAGGGTAAGGGTAAACCAAGGCTCCCTAAACCCTAAATCCTAAACCCTAAATCCCTATAAACCAGAAGTCTTAATCCTAAACAAAAAACCTATAAACCCTAAACCCTAAGCCCCGAAACCAAGGCTCCCTGGCACGTTCATGCGGCGCGAAAACTATGACTTGGACGACTGGGAGACACAGGCTGGTCCTGGGTAAAAGTTCGCGCATAGGGTCTAGGGTTTAGGGATTAGGGATTAAAGTGTTTAAAGATTATGGATGAGGGTTTATGGTTTAGGGGTTAGGTTCGGGGATTAGGCTTTAGGGTTAGGGTTTAGGGCTTCTGGGGTTTGGGGTTTTGAAGTACTTAGGGGTTTGGGCTTTTAGGGTTTTGGGGTTAAGGGATTGGGGTTTGGAGTTTAGGGGCTTTTGTTTAAGGGACCCCACAAGTATGCAGAATAATAGCTTCTTCCAGGTTTTGGGCCATTGCTTTTGGGGGTTCAGGTACATGTTTAAGGAGCTATTCAGCTATATACAGAAACCATAACAAGGAGCCCTAAAAAGGTCTTTTCCGCTACAGATCTCAAAGCATTCAAGCAATGCAGGCCCCTGTGTTTTACCCTATATAGGTTCCGGTATAGAAAACACTTTGCGAGAACCCTTAGACGAACTCTCAAAGGGGCCTCAAAACCCAAAACCCCAACCACCTCAAGTCATTCAGCCCCAAAACTTTTCAATCCTAATCCCAAGCTTCAAATCCTACCAGCCCAAAGACCTAAACCCTCCGGAAGAAGCTTGAAACCGTTTCTACAACCAACGAAGATCCACATGGAATGGAAACCCTAGAACCCTCACCCTCAAAGGACTCATATTTGTTAAGGCTTTTCGGGCCCAAAGACCCGATAATAAAAGGCCTTTGGGCGATTTTGATGCCAGGGGGAGGATGCTTAAATGTTTGTTCAGTTGCGGTTTGAGGGTCACAAGCACTTCAAGCCAGTTTGGAAGGACAGATAACCTGCAGTTTTGTTGTTCAAGGGATCCCTGAAAAGAACTCTTTAACCCTAAGGTGCTCCCATGCACCTTTTTCGTACATACTTAGACCTAAAAGGGGTTCCTATATACTGTAGGGGCTTAAATATAATTACCTATGTCATTTTGGCGGGTTCCTCGTTATAAACGTAGTTCAAGTGTGCCCCAAAGCCCTATTCTAATTATTACGGCCCCTATAATACTTAGACCCGAAAGAGGTTCCGATCATAGGTAGTTTCATGCCGGAGTACATAGTACATGGGCACATGGAGTGTTAGGGCCAGGAGCCCTAAACCCTTCTAGGTTTCCGCAGGAGCCCGCAAGCAAATTCCTTACTCGGGGACATACCTTCAGTTGCAGGGGGCTTACTGTTATGTGGTTGAAAGTATGTTTACTAAGGACCCTTAACCCTGAACCCTGAACTCTATTCCTTAATTCAAAATACAGCACCCTTACGTTACAAGACCCTGGAGTTCCCATTAGTATATAGAAGCTTCCTACTTGAGGGGTGTAATGGTTTCGGGTTTAGGGTTTAGGTACTGTAGAAACATCCTATACTACACCCCATAATACGGCTGATGATCTAAATCCTGCATCCCCCAAAATACGGAATTATATACCATAACTCCCATAGTCTAGGGTCCTTAAGGTAATGCAGGGTTTATAATATCATCTCAATATTATGCTTACAAGCATATCCATACTGCTCCCGGGGCTTCCAGCGAGAATCCTTGTACCTGTGTTGTATATGCTTAGGCTTTAAGTACAGTACAACAAAAGAACTCCATTTACGGCCTAAGTATGTTTCTTCCTCTCTCTCTCTCTATATATATATATATATACGTAGTATACATATATACATATACTATATACTAAAACACTATATACTAAATACTATGTACTATATACTATACATTCTACACTAAGTACTATATACTATATTCTACATGGGCACATTGGGAATCCTGTGCACCTTCATGGGATGTTTTTAAGCCTCTTTAGAACTCCCTGGGCTGTTCAAGTGTAGAGTAAACTCTATACCCTACTGTAAGCTCTAGACCCTGAACCCTATAAGGTTTTCGGGTTTAGGGGTTTAGGAGTTAGGGGTTAGGGGTTAGGGGTTTAGGGGGTTTGGGTTGACGGTCACTTCATGAGAACAAATGTCAAGGATATTTTCAGGTGGGTAGTTACCGTTATAGGAGCCTTGTAAAAGGTCTATATACCTCACAGAAGCCTTATAGAAGCCCTTTATACCCTAAACTCCACACCTGCAGTTGCCTTTAACCCTTAGTCAGGGTTATAAGTACGTAGAAGTATACTTACCTCATTTATAACCCTGGCTACTAAGTCCCACGATCCTTTAAGTAAGGCTGCTGTAGGTTCCTTTAATAAAAGGGCTCTCTGTTCATGGCTTCCCCGAGGATCCTTGGTGGCAGCTGGCGCCTTTGCCTCGGGGGGCTGTGATCCTCAGGGACTCGCGCGACTCGGCCAAAGACGTTTTTTGGATTCATTGTTCAGGGTTCCTCTGAGGGTTTACTACGAGGGTTTAGGGTTTAGGGTTTCAGGGTTCCTCTGAGGCCTTACTACGAGAGTTTAGGAGGGCCCTATACCCTTATACTATGGATCCCTATATGGTATACGAAGCCTAAGCCCTTTTGGCCTTAAGGTAAG